ATGCCAGACAACTGAACAAAGTTTGTATTGTACGATGTTAGTTTGAGATCATGTACATCCACTCTCTTCCTTTCTTCGATTATTTCGTTGCTGAAGCCAGCAAGGTAATTTCGGATTTTTTCACCGTAATTATCGAAAGCTATCTTGAAATCTGATTTTATTTGCGATATAAAACCATCAACATATTGTTTGTTTGCAACATCAGCGACATCTGTTGGCAGTTTTACGTTACACATCTTCAAATGACCAACATCAATATCACCGGTTGGAGTATGTGAAAATCCAGATCTGACTGTCACCATCTGAGCTGAGCGTGGAAACGAACCACGTCCGAATTTGTCGAGACTCATTATGCTAATGACTAAAGTATTGTACGTTATCGATAATGGTCGGCACTTTGCCTCGCCAATTATTAGCCCCTTCACTCATAGACATGCTATGAAAGTGTCACGAAAGTGTCAAGGAAGTGTCACGGAACTGTCACGGAAGTGTCAAGGAAGTGTCACGGAACTGTCACGGAACTGTCACGAAAGTGTCAAGGAAGTGTCACGGAACTGTCACGGAAGTTGTCATGGAAATGTCGCACATGTTTTATTATGCCTGCCTCTTCTAATTCGTTCAAGATGGCAACAATCTCGTTATCGTTTGATGTATTTCCGGCTTGCTGTGATGCAATGAGCAACTTCAATCTATCTACCAATTCGTTTGGATCATCCCAATACATGTATTCGATAGGTGCTGTGTTGTATGTCAACTTCAAACCACGACCACTGGAATTGGATCTGAACATTGGACGAATAATTTCTACGTATTTGAGTCTAGAGGAAGACTTCATACGTCCTGCAGAATTCAGATGAGCTTTGGTGAGCAAGAGTATTCGCTTGTATGGGTTCGTATCATCTTTGGCAAAGGATGGATCATTATAGAAGAGTAATTGATAGAGGCCTGGGGTGCCACGGAACCGAAAGCCATCAAGAAGTATATCTCCAGTTCTTCGATGGAAATTCATTTCTTTTCCGTTGAGAGACCATTTCGATGTTACTGGATCATATTTGGGACCATAAACCGTATCGATATTTTCATCATTTGTCCAGTATTCAGTCAGATATTTTTGAGCCATCGCAGGATACTGATCAACGTAATCATGTATTGCAGCCGGTGAGATATTTTCACTCTCTACAAAAAGTTCATCATCAGCATCGTCATAACCATCCTCATCATCATCTTCAGTATGCCTAGCATTATCAGCCACATCCATCATAGGTATGAAATTAGTTTGATTCAAACCCGATTGCTCCCTCTCCACCTCCCCATCCTCTTCCTCCTTCTTCTCCTTCTTCAACCCCAACGATTTTGCTCTGCTTCGCTTGATGTTTGAAAGCGTTCCATCGAGTTTTTCTTTTATTACCTTGGACGTGGTGGCAATTTGTTTCAAAGGTGTTGTCAGTGGTTGGAATATTTTCTGTAACGCATCATCATCCTCAGACTTGCCCAATTTTAGTGCTAAATATTTTCTTCTGATTGATTTCGATAGTTCGTTGATTTTTTTCTTGCGCATCGCATCAGCAACATCATCATGCATCTTGGTTGACGTCATCTTGATGAATGGTCCAGAGATCACAGTCTTATGAACTTATCGAAACCATTTCTATATCTGCCAGCATTCATATCGAAAGTTTTTGCAATCACCATCGCACCATATTGGTTGGAATTCCAACACTCTGAGCACAATGCTTTAAATTGATCGAATGACATGTCTGGTGAGACATGCTCGTCGAACACATGCTTCAAATTCATTTCATCCTGTCGAAATAACACCAACAGGTTACTGTTGTCTCGCACCAGCTGCTTCGGTATCTTAGAAAAAGTCTGGCATAGGTATGCTACGTCAATATCCTTGTGTCTACACATTGAAAAATATTCTCGAATTTTTTGCTGCTTGTCGCATGATACATCATCAAAAATGAATATCGAATTATTTTTCGCTTCTGATGGACTGATGACATCATCATTTTCTTTAAAGGGAAAATACCCAACACCTTTCACTGAATCCAACACTTGTTGCAGCAATTGATATTTCGGTTGGTACAACGACTTTGAATACACGTAAACGTTCTTGAATTTCGCGCCATTTGGATTGAACAGCAGGGAAAGCATCGCATTGGTCTTTCCACATCCGCTTGGTCCGCAGAAGATTGCTCTGAACGAATGGGGAAGCAGTTCCCCATGTTTACTATTTACTGGGGGTTTGGTTGACAAAATTTCATCCAAATTCACAATGGGCAACATCCGTTCTTGTTGAATGATCTTCATCATGTGATGATATATTTTTCATTTCATTAGGTATATGCAGAGTTGTCGAACTTCCTACACATCAGTCTTCATGTTGCTCTACCACGGAGAGGGTGTGCTTAATTCTCTGATCGATAAACTTCCCATCGAATTACACATTCCAGCCTACAGATTTTGTGGTCCAGGTACCAAACTCGATGAAAGACTTGCAAGAGGAGACACCGGTATCAATCCGTTGGACGACGCGTGTCGAGTACACGATATAGCCTATTCACAAAATTCCTCAATAGAAGACAGGCACAAAGCTGATTGGATATTGGAAAATAGAGCGTGGGAGAGAGTCAAGTCAAAGAACGCTAAATTCAAAGAGAAGGCTGCTGCTTGGCTTGTCACCACCGGAATGAAGGTCAAACGAAAACTTGGCATGGGTCTTGTATCACAGCAATCCCTATCCAACATTATTAAATTCATAAAAAATGTACTATCAAAGTCAGATGGTGGTGGTGGTGGTGGTGGTAGTACAACATCAGGAAGTGGTCTGAATAAATCTGCATTGAAAGCACTCCATGCAGCCAGAATGGCAATCAAGAGGGCTGGCGGTAAAAAAAGAATCAGAGTACCAAGAATCATACCTCTTCCACACAGTGGCGGTATACTACCATTGATACCAATCTTTGCCGCCTTGGGGGCCCTAGGATCTCTAGCTGGAGGAGCCGGAGCAGTCGCAAAGACAGTCATCAATGCGAAAAATGCAAAGAAAAAGCTCGAAGAAGATCAAAGACATAATAGAGCAATGGAGGCTATCGGCAAGCAGGGTTCCGGCCTATTTCTATGCAAAACATCGAGAGGATTCGGACTGTACTTGAAGAAACAATCAAAAAACTCAAAAAACTTCTAGACAAGCTACCCAATAAATCAATGTACGATAAAGATGTGATAAAGTATGCCAAACAGCTGAAAATACCGTATTTTCGAGGTGTTTTTATGCGGGACACTCTACCTTCCACCGGTCCATGGCATCGCGAGTGTGCTGTATTGAATTTGGATACCGCCAATCATGCGGGCACTCATTGGGTGGCTTACATAAAAAATGATAAAAAAGCCTTATATTTCGATAGTTATGGCAATCTGAAACCGCCCAGAGAATTGGCGCAATATTTGGGTGTCAGCACGAAAATCTTGTACAATAACAATCAATACCAAAATTTCAATCAAAGTAATTGTGGACGTCTATGTTTAGAATTCCTTTTTAATGAGACCAAGTAACTCGATCATTGTGCATCAGTCATGTCTCTGATAGTGACGTTGAAAGGTCGTACATCTACGCTCTCCATAGACTTTTTGACACCACTTCAACTCGATCCAGACTCTGATTACGGACTAGCATTGTTGGGATTCCATTCATACAACAGTATACCAAATATCGACAAAGGATCAAAGTTTTATCTGCGAGATAAGACCAAGGCGGGAAAGATCATCGATATTCCCGAAGGTTCATACGACATTGTGGACATTGAGACATTCATACGCAAAGAATTGGGCATCTCAAGTGCAAAGGACGTTGATGATATATTCTCGTTGAAGCCCAACAATAATACACTAAAGTGTGAGATTTCGAGCCAAAGGTTTGCCATCGATTTTCGTCCAAAGGATAGCATAGCTCAAGTCTTGGGATTTTCAAATAGATTGTTGGACGCACAACAAGTCCACACTTCCGATTTGCCGGTCAGCATAACCAAAGTGAGAACTATTCACATTGATAGCAACGTTACTGCTGGAGCTCTCTACAACGACAGACCATCACATACGATCTACGAGTTTGCAGTTGCAGTCGATCCTGGTTACGCCATAGACGAGACTCCCAGAAATCCAATCTATCTACCTATAGTCAGCAGGCGGGAATTGCCCAACATTACGCTCCAGATTCTAGACCAAGATTTCAGGCAGGTGAATTTTAGAGGTGAAGAAATCATCATAAGATTGGAATTGAAGAAACTCGCAAGATGGTACTAGTGTTTGATTACTCCTATAAATCAGATAATATACCATCATCAGCAACATCATCGGCACCAGTTCTCTCGACACCGTACACCAAAGCAGTCGTGTCTTCGAAGAGCAGCAACAGAAAAACATTGACATTATCCAGTGTCCTGTTTCTGAAATCACTCAAAGACTACAATGTTGTTAGCACCCGTGTTCGACGTTTTCCGCAAACCCAGATTCGACGAAAGCATCACTAAAGTGGAATGGCGTACCTATTATCCATATGTGAAATCATTCGAGAACAATGATGTCATCGATATAACGGTTAATCAAGCAGATTCGTGGTTGGCCATGTTTGAAGGTATCATTACCATCAAGGGTAAATTGAAGGTGACTGGTGGTGGTACTGGTACATTAACCCACAATGCTGGAGCTTATCTCTTTGATTCCTGCACCTATGAATTATGTAATAAAGAATTGGACACTGTCAGATATCCTGGAATAACGAGTACTGTGCGAGGATACTTGTGTTATACACCTGAAGACTCACGTCATCTAGCCATAGCAGGCTGGAACTATCCCAATGCTCCGATCCTCAACACCGATGGTACGTTTAGTATGAACATTCCACTGAAACATTTGTTTTCCATCTTCAATGATCATCAAGTGGCAACGTGGGGCAAGCAGTCAATCCGTTTAGTGAGAGCTCGCAATGATGCCAACAGTGTGAAGGTTGTCGAGAGAGCGAATACTGCTTTGCCAGGATCTCCTCAGACTCAGAGTATTGCTAAAATAACGATAGAAAGCATCAATTCGAAAGTGCCACATCTCACACCCAACGATGACATAAAGTTGCAGTTGTTGACACGTATCAAAGCAGATGAGCCTATGATGATACCGTTCCGTCGATGGGAATTGCACGAGCTACCAGCACTCACACAAGGATCCACCATAGAAATCTGGTCCGTAAAGACATGTTCTGCATTGGACAGTCCAAGATATGTTATAGTATTTTTCCAAACGAAAAAAGCCGATAATTTGCATGAAGACGTCACCTTGTTCGATAATGCCAACATCAAATCCATACGATTGGCTCTGAATAGCGACTATTATCCGCAAGAACGAATGCTATTGGACTTTTCCAAAGACCAATATGCCGACGCCCACTTCAACTATACAGAGTTCAACAAGAGCTACCATAACTGTCAAGAAAAGCGCTCTCTAGTAAACTTTGCCGAATTCAAATCCCGACCAATGTTTGTTATCGATTGCTCGAGGCGCCATCTAGGCATGAAGTCGTCTACAGTTGACATAAAGTTGGACATTGAAGCGACTACAGGCTTCCCTCCCGACACCAAAGCCTATTGCATCATCATTCACGATCAAATCATGGAACATCTCCCACTCAGCGAAATTGTTCGAAATATTGCCTAGTTAGGTGTTGCTGCATCAGTCAGACGTCAGTTTGCTTCGAAGAGTCATGGAGATCGCACTGGTTGACATTCAAGGGTTCATGGTTGATGGTGAATTCATTCCAAAGGAAATGACCATTCGCATTGGCAAAAAGACGAGTCATTTTTTATTCAAGTCATCTGTAGAATTTTCCAGTTTAAGCAGAGAAGATAAAAAGATGGCAAATCATGTGGAGCGTTACGTTCATGGTTTAAAATATTCCAGTGGTTATGTGGATTTGAATGAGTTGGATCAAATACTACGAGATAACCTGCAGCAGACAAACATCATCTACGTAAGAGGCCATCAAAAGATTCAGTTCTTGCAGCGAAAATGTGCAGAGTTGGAGATGACCAATCACATTGTTAATTTGGAAGATTTTGACAATTCTTGGTGGCAGCCAATAACGTTTCAACAATCCATTCCACCTTGCATGAATCATTTCCATGGAGGAAGGTTCCAGTGCAGTCTCCACAATGTCGATACTTTATATAATTGGTTATGTAATTTATTGCCAAAATAAAAAACTTCATAATAATTTCAAAGTTTTTATTCATCACATCCCTTATTTCTCAGTATAATGAAAATAACATGTGAGATTAAAATGAGTGAACATATTAGTGTACAACAAAGTGTCAAAATTGCAATGATATTGACAGTATCTTGATCATCATCTAATTTTGCGGGTGATTCCTTCAATGTAAATGTCTGCCAGTCTCCCATTTCACCGACACTGCCATCAGAAAACGATAATTTCAATTTGTAGTCGATGGTGGTCCCATTGACTCGAGGCATGTCGATTGAATATACAGGTAGTTTGTTATCGTTGACATACATTCTACTCATCAGCTTCCAATCACACTGTTGTGTACGATTCACATCAAAACATACGGCTGCATTCCTCGTATTGTACGGTATGTTTGTGTAGAAGACGTTGTTGCTCAGAGCTGTCAATAGAATGAAGCTTGCTTTCAGTATCGCCATCTAGTAGCTGTGTTGGTTGGATTCTTCTCGATGTAGGTGCAACTGAACGTCTCGGTTCTGTGAACACCTTGTCCCAAACACTCAATTGCTCGAAATCTTTGAACAAACAAACTTTCTGCTCATACAATTGGATGTCTGCACTGAGCTTTCTAACTTTCAACCCAAATTCTTCTAGTGCACGTCTGTATTCGTCAGAAGACATGATACAACTGTTTTTTACATCCATACCTTCAACTAATATCCATCCAATCTCTCTCTCTCTCTCTTCTTTTCTTTTTTCGTCTCTCTCTCTCTCTCTTTCTTGTACGCATCATCCAGACAAGGGTGTGGGAAAAGAATACACAGAAAAGTCTGATAATTGTAAAAGTGTATAATAGTATAAATGTAAAAAGGAATAATAAAAATGAAAAAAAAGTTTATACAATAAAATATGAATATTAGGAATAATTAGATAATACTAAAATAATTGAAAATATACATATATACAACATAAATTATTGGATGAATAAAATAAGTTACATTTTTTTATGGGAAAATAAGTCATCAATACAACAGCGTTGGTTTGAAAATTTAGATGCAAAAATACTAAGGAGAAAATCAATCCGTCAAACTGTAGTGACCCCACGGAAGTGTGTCAAATGAATCGTGAATCAGTTTCCGCTTATCATCTTTGGGACTCAGGCCAATTTTAGTCTGCTCGATGGAAAAAACATCGTGAGCGTAGGAACGAATCGTTTGCTGGGCTACGGTCTTTTCTTTCCAAGCCGTCAGACAATCCACATAGTCATCAAAAGTCAACTTATTTTTGACAACACATTTCTTGACACCCTTGGATTTTTTAGTAATACCGAAATTTTCCAATTCCCTATCTAGTCGTTCTTTACTGAACCCCTTTCTTCCCAATCGCTTTCTCTCTTTTTCAATATCCTCATCCGTTATATCCAATTTATAACTGTACATCTTGGACCGTAGTCCAGCAAAATGCGTAATAATCTTACCGTTTGCCTCATCCTTTAATAGGCCCAAGACTTTTTTATTTACTCGAGGTATACCATAAATATTGTCTGGAGCATAGTCAGACGTGTCAAATCTCTCGATATTTGCATCAATCACCTCACTATATGCATCGTCACATACAATTTCGTAGATGAAGCTGCCCGTATCGGTATACATGAGTTTTACGTCAGCTCCAAGCTTTGGTAACATGAAATTGAAGTGGAAATCATACATGACGATTTTCGATAAATCAAGAATAGCCATACCAATGTATAGGGGCTTGTTGAAAATCAGCTCTGCTTTTTTCAACTCTACTGCCACCAAATTGTCGTCGAAAACTGTCCGCTGTTGAAACCGAGGACTTGAAATTAAATTTTTAATGCCATAGTGGCCTTCATACATTCTGACTAACTTTACTGTTCTATGATTACGAATATTCTCCATAGTCTTCCCAAACACCGCATTATTGGCCAATTTCCTTAAATCTTTTTCAAAATCGTTTGTGGCTAGAGTCCTCAATCGAGTATTCAACTCGATGTAGGGCTTTATCCACGTGGATTGTTTGAACTTTAATACTTTATGAATCTTGGTTAATTTCAGACCGTGTTCTAATGCCTGCTTCAAATTTCGATGATGTAAAGTATATTGTTTTTTATCGTGGAGTGTGGTCATTAATTTGGATAATTTTGAATTTGGTGGTGTGCGGTGTTCGGGACAAAATGGAAGGTCCTTGTGTAGGTCATGCAACCCCTCAGGATACTTCAAATCAACTTGGAGAATATAGCCTTCTGGACTGTTGTCAGGAATTTGGGTTACATCAATGTCAACATTTTCTACCCATGTAAAGCCCCCATAAGGGAGGGGTTCACTCATTGCTTTTCCATAAAGGTTATTTACATCGAGATAAAGAAGGTACTTTGACGGCTTTTTTGGATCGTAATTTTTCTGATATTTATTGTTTGCTTCGCTATACCTATTGCAACAAACCGATACTCCTCCTCTTATCGCCTGCTCCACAAACATCACCATGTCGATATCTTTGATGATTTGAAGCTTACACCCAGTATACTTGAGCATGCAGTCCCAAGTATAGCCGGGCATGGTGTAATACCAAGCAGGATCGAGGCCATAGGTCTTGAGGGATGACGCACGGAAATTTTCCATGACGTCAGCAAGAAGAAGAATATCGGTCCGCATATATAGGTCGCTATATTCTCCCAACGATTTCAGCTCGAAAGATTCCCAAACTTTTTGCGCGTGCGCGTAATCGTCGTCCGAAATATTTGTATCGTTCAATTTGTTATAGAAATTTTGAATACTTGGCAACTCGGATTCATCCAATCTTTCCACATTATCGACATAGTCATATGGGAATACTCCTTTTCGTGTCAACAATTCAAATTTCGTCTCATTTACGTCACTAAATTCTTTCTTCAGAATTTTCAAATCATTAACTTTTAGCGTTGACACTAAAGCATCGAGACTGGTTCCCAAAAAGCGGAAAGAGTCGATGAATCGGAATTTTATGCTTGTTTCATCATCATTTTGTGTAAAGGAAATGTATTTTTCGCGATTAACCGGGAGTACGCTCACACGTCCCCGCTTGGAAATGTCTCTGATTATAAAATGCGAATCATATCCTGAGAGGTTGTGGAACGTAATGGGAACAACGAACAGTTTCCTAAAGTTGAGATTACAGGGAGCCTGGTGTGCGAAGCCTCTGAATGCGCCAGTAAAATGGTCGTGGTCACGTACGATAACGTCTTTTGCCTTGAATTTCTCTTCGCAAATGTGGTAGATGGTTGCGCCACTGGTACTAGCCGGTTTGACTACCATTGGAACGATATTTTTCAATTTGGATTCGACAAATTTGGCAATTTCAGACATTTCGCAGGCAAACCAGTCCATGCAATCTCCACCCCTATGACTACGATAAAATGACAGCGAGTCATCGAAAGAACATTTAAAATAGTACCCTGCACTGTATGCTTTATGATGTTGATACTTTGAAGTGGTTTTTGAAATTTTGGAATTACATTTCTCCAACTGCGATTCGAAATCAGCATAAATGATGAAAGGACATGTCTGCTTATACACATGGTTCTTAAATTCTACAAAATCATACTTGGGGAATGAATTTTTCTCATTATTAATTTTCTCACATAGAGCAGCATGACTAGCAAGCTTCTCCTGGCAATGGTAATAGTTGAGGCACCGATCGCAGATGAATTTCTTTCCACAATGTTTGTTGAGTTGACATGATACTAGTCGTGAAAGGTCCTTAATCCAGACATAGTGATATTTTATATTAACGTTCTCTTCAGCATTATCGTTGTCAGGAGGAGCTTCATAGTCATTCAATTTTGGGAAATATTTGTCTTGAATTAATAGCAAATTAACGTGTCGATTACATTTATGCTTAGTCAGTCTGGTGGGTACTACAGAGTAAAATGTTCGTTCGTTGACTTCTGTCAACTCTAACGCATAAACATTCACCGAAATAGCATTCATTTTTTCAAATTTTGTGATTTGGGGCAGCTTCATTGGTATGTCTAATCCTTTAATGTTCAAAATCTGTGAATAGTGAGGATAATTCTTAACTCTATTTGAATTTTTTTCAATGGGATGCAAACAACTGACTATGCTCCAATAGAAGCAAGCCTCATCATCATTTTGAACGTTAATGCAGGCATGCTTTCTCTCAATCTGCTCTGGTTGATAAACGATGAGCCATTTCCCATTTCATATTTATTTATGGCAACCTCCAAAGAAATAATTTCGCTCAAGGCCCACCCGCTATTCTTCTCGGCAAATTCGCTAAGTTTATTAAGGATCACATCTAGCGCATTGATTTTGAACCAATCGGCTAGGTCCGTTCCTGCGTCCACGATGGCATTGGGAGTACAAAAATGTTTGCGGTCAACTAATTCCCCATTATTTGACTGCTTAATGAAGTCACCGGAAAATGTAAAGTTGACTTTTAGCATTGAAAAGCGCCCCAAAATTTTTGAAATTCTCTTATTTACTAATCTAAATGAATCCTCCAAAAAGTCGATAATCTCCTTATGTCTCAAATTCAGAATAAGACCGGTCTGCACTCTCGACGCGAAGATTGAATTAACATCAATCCAACGAATATAGGGCTTCAGGCCGGAGCCAACATGTCCTCTATTCATAGTTTTGATGAAAAATCTCATCCGTTTCAGTTCCCCGATCTTAGTCTGAATTTTACGCTTCAAACCAATCGAAAAAGTATTTCTTTTCAATGCTAAATTACATTTCCGTATGTGTGAACGGATTGATTTCAATACAAAAAGTGCCAATGGTTTCGAATAATTTTTCTTAATTAATAAAAGAGTTTCGTCGACTTTGGTCAAGGTTTTATTGATACTCTCCATTGCTGTATTGATGATATTTTACCCAAATGAAACAAATGTAGCTTACTTTAATACCCCAAAATTTCAAACGAAGCTGCTGGATTGGCCTTCCCAGTCTGCACCTTTCCTCTGAATACCAAGGAATATTTCCCGCTACCGAAATATCCAATATGGGAGGAATAGGTCTCAGTTACACGACTGGGCAGAAACACAACAGAGTCCTCCAACTCAATCAGAACAGATTTACCAAATTTTGTGGTGACCACTTTCGCTGTCTTGATTGGTTGGGGTTGACCGAGCAGGAGATCCACCAACTTCACGCTTGGTTTCTGTTGTTTTGGAGCAATCAGAGAAGCTGCGTTGATTTGAGTAAGATCCATCTGGTGGAAAGAAAAAGGACAAAAAACATCAGCAGTCCAACAAAGTCATGATGAGCTTGATACTAGGATGGATTATTTTCGATAAAACTAGAAATGAAATCAATCTGCGATTGATCATTGACACTTTCATTGAATTGTCTCTCGAGAAAACTTGGAATGAAAAAGGTTGATGCGGAATGAGCACTAGGTTGTATTATTTTCAAAATAAAATGAAAGGGACCGATATTATAAAATTCGAGAAAGGAATGGGCACTGAATGAATAATTTGCAATGAAACTTAAAATAAAACTAAGAAACTCAAAATGGAATAAAGAAGTTGGATAATATAGGATTGAGAATATAAATACGCACTTTGATAAAAAAGAGGTACTTACTATTATTGCTATTAATGCACACACACACACACACACAAACAGTGATGATTTGGCTGGAGCTGGTCAAGAGACAACGTTCACGATTGCAGACTCGAGTGTGAATGATGTTGTGCGGCGTCATCGCTTTTATACGCTGGCAGAGTTACCTCGTGACTTGCTGATAGTAGACGCGGATGTTCTGGAAAAACCCATCCAAAACGACTACTGATAGCAATAATTTCTTGCGTCAATCTGATAACGTATTTTGTTTATGCGACTAGTTGGGTTTTTTGTGGTTTTGATAACCTCCAACGTTTCCTGTTATGCTGCTGATTGTGAAATTGTTGGGTTTTTTGTAGTTTCGATAACCTTCAACGTTTCCTGTTATGCTGCTGATTGTGAAATTTGTTGTTGGGTTTTTTGTGGTTTTGATAACCTCCAACCTTATCTGTTATGCTGTTGATTGTGAAATTTGCTGTCGCTGCACCCGTGTAGAGATAAGCGCGCGCCAGCGATGGATATTATTTTCGACTCGGAGTTTCTTATCTCTGGAATGCATCTCTCGCTTCACTCTACCTCGATAGATCCGTTCCAAAGATAAGCGCGCGCCAGCGATGGATATTATTTTCGACTCGAAGTTTCTTATCTCTGGAATGCATCTCTCGCTTCACTCTACCTCGATGGATCCGTTGCAAAGATAAGCGCGCGCCAGCGATGGATATTATTTTCGACTCGAAGTTTCTTATCTCTGGAATGCATCTCTCGCTTCACTCTACCTCGATGGATCCGTTGCAAAGATAAGCGCGCCAGCGATGGATATCCCGTTTGAATAGCATTAAAATAATTGAAATATCACGGAGGTCGGAATACCACAGTGCGTATATACGCTGCCTCATAATGCAAAGGTCCCTGGTTCAATTCCCCCCAGCGGTGACAGCTTTTTTTAATTTATTTATTCACGATGGCGACGTGACGACGTATGAATAATTTGAATTTCGCGCTGGTTTTTAGTGGGCGTGGCCTCCAACCAAATGCTGGTCTCTGATTGGCTTGAGCCAGAACATACATAGCCCTTCTACTAATAACATTGTGAGTACAACCTCACGCTTTTTTCCGCACCTTGTTGATATTTAACATCCTGAAATTTCCATTTTTCAATTTCTGAGTGATGATTTTACTGAATTTCGATTCAAAATATCGATAGTGTGGTATCAAGGTGTTTGTAAAAAAATTTCCTTCTCAGATATGGTGATGAGCCACCCTTGCTTTATCTGAAAAAATCCAGTTAGCATCATACTTAATTTTTTTATCGCTTGGAGCGCACGAAAGGATACGATATTGTAAATTTAGAATGAACCTGTGAAACGAATGAAAAGTAGAACTTCATCGAAACTATTTTTTCTAGACAACATTATTCAAAATAATATGTTTCAACTCAGTCATGACACTCAAGAGTGAAATTCCAAAAAATGAAAATGTCATGGTGTTGAATGTCAAGAAGTGGCAAATTGGTTGTCATTGTACTTACAATGTTATTCTCTATCGAAATTAGTGAAAATATACCGGGTGTCCCATTTGACTTCGACCAAAAAAACGACAGCCCTAGGCGAGATTACGACACCGAAACAACAAACCTCGATCTAGACCGCTAAAATAAGTACCTAGGTAACTCAAATTGACTTATAAGATCCAACGTGCATCTTTTTTTCGTCGTCGTTCTAGGTAATATATATCTCGACAGGAATTTGTATGCAGGTGGTTAGTTTTATAGAGCATAATCTTAGCGCATGCGCTCCTCAACAAATACAAAT